AAAAAAAAAAAAAAATTGCATTAATGTACATAGCTATCATTTAATAAAAAAGAGAATGGGACTCACTTAAAATTATCTTCAAGGTAGAATCAAAAGATGTGACGGACAGGGTTGTGGATCGTGCCCCAGTTTGATTATATTTTTAAGTGTGTGGGCCCAGAGCTAAAGACACTTATGTAGGCATTTATTCTCTGATAAGAAAAAGTAGAGTAAAACTATAACTTCTTTTTTTTTTTGAAGGACTATATTTATGAAATGTTATTTTTTTTTTTTTTTTTTTCAGTTTTTGGCCAGGGCTGGGTTTGAACCCACCACCTTCAGCATATGAGGCCAGTGCCTTACTCCTTTGAGCCACAGGCGCTGCCCAATTAGCTATATTTTTATAGCATATTTGAATTCTCTCTCTCTTTCTCTGTTAATCTAGCTAGTGCCTATCACTTTGTTTACCCTTCCAAAAAACCAACTTGCCATTTTTTTGATTCTTTGTATTGTTTTTGATTTAAATTTTGTTTCATTCTGCTCTGAAATTGTTGTTTTTATTTTCTCCCTGCTAGCTTTGCATTTGGTTCTTTGAGGTGTGACATTAAATTGTTAATTTATAATCTTCTTGTTATTTCAATTGAGACATTTAGAATTCTCAACTTCCCTCTCAGTATAGCTTTTACTGTGTCCCAAAAGTTTTGGTAACTTATGTCACAGCTATTCATTTCAAACAATTTTTATATTTTTGTCTTGGTTTTCTTATTAACCTAAATATCAAAAGATCATTCAGGATTCACTTCTTTTACATTGAGACTGGTTATATTGCCTATAATATGTTATGTATTGGTGAATGTTCCATGTACTGATGCAGAAGAATGTATTTTCTGCACATTTTGGGTTAACTATTCTATAAGAGTCTGTTATTTTCGTTTATTCTAGAGTCAAGTTTAAGTTTAGTGTGACTTTATTGACTTCTAGCCAAAAAATCTTTTTTAGTGCTGTCAGTGTTGAAGTCCCCCACTACTATTGTTTTGTTATTATTTCTTGCTTAGATCTGGTTTTGTTATTTATTTCTTTCTTAGAATTGTTATATGAATCTGGGTGTTCTTGTTTTAAGTGCATACATATTTAGGATTGTTCTATCTCTTGCTGAATTGGTAGCGTAATCATTATATATGATCTTCTTTGTTTATTTTTACTGTTGTTGAATTAAAGTTTGTTTTATCTGATGTTTTTGGTCTCCATTCTCCTGGGATTTTTATTTTCAACCTTCTACCTTGAGTGTATAAGACTCTTTCAGAGTTAAATTGGTCTCTTGAAGACAATTGATATTTGGTTGTATTTTCATTTTCTCTGAAAATCTGTATCTATCAAGTGGGGTGTCAGGCCATTTATATTCAAAGTTATTATTGACATATGAGGTACTGTTCCAGTCATCATGTTGATTGTTACCTAGGTGCTTTGTGTTCTCAAATGTGTTACTGTTTTTAAATCTTTATTTTATACTTTCCAGTAATTCTATACTGATGAGGTTGATCCTCACCAGTATAAACTCCTCAGCCTCATTGGAGTTTTGATGTTTAGAACTCATTTGAGTATTTCTTGTATAGCCAATCTATTGTTGACAAATTGCCTTAGTATTTTTTTCTGGGAGGGGTCTGGAAAATAATTTATTTCTACTTCATTTATGAAACTTAGTTTTGAAGAATACAAAATTCTTAGCTGAGAACTATTCTATTTACAAAGAACCCCAATCCTTTCTGGCTTGTAAAATTTTCTACTGAGAAGTCTCCTATTAGTCTGGTAAGTTTTTTTTTATAAGTTATTTGATGTTTTTGTCTCATGGACATTAGAAAAAATATTAAAAGTTTCATGAATTTTTGTGTTATCCTTATTTAAGAGCCATGCTTATCTTCTCTGTATAATTCCAATCTTAGGAGATATGGTGCCTAAGTGAGCATTAAACCTCTTTTTCTTAACTCATGCTGATTTAGTATTGAAAAAAATTCCCCATTTGCTCTCCATAACATTATTTATTAATATTAAAATTTTGGTGTGCAAACTTTCCTGCCAACAGTATAATGCTGACTTTTTTCTAGTCTACATAAAAGGTAGGCTTTTACTTTATTATCTTAAGAATGCACCAAACCATTTTAAACACATGCCACCTTTCTATGATAAACTAGTTCTCCACTTTTTAAATCAAATTGCTTCATTTGGGTTCATTAATGCTTTTATACTATTAGTCAATCTTTGCAAATGGTTTACATTTGGAGACTATATTATTTATAGTCATTAATAAAAAATTGATTTAATTTCTGTAGGATATATTTTATTTATAAATATTGAACATATTAGTACCAACACAAAACTCAAATTTATTGGATAGTGCTTTGATGTGAATGTGATTTTCCCTTTTGACACTTGTGTTGAAATTTGATTTCCAAGTAGTGGGAAGTGGAGCCTAATAGATGACATTTGAGTCATGAGGGCAGATATCTTATAAATAAATTAATGCTATTTCTTGCAAGTAAGTCCTCATTCTCCCTTGGGACTAAATTGGTTATCACATGAGTGGGTTGTTACAAAGTAAGTTTCCTCCTGTTTTTTCTTTCTATTGGCACACAACCGACTCACCTTTGTGATTATTTGCTGTTTTCATGCAACGCATGGCCCTTACTCAAAGTCCTTGATGCAACACAAGGCCCTTACTTAAAGCAAATTCTGTTGTTATGTTCTTGGATTTTTCAGCCACCTGAATCATGAAATGTGATTCTTGTGGATTATGCAGACTCATGGATTCTGTTTAGCAATACTAAATTAATTAATACACATAAATTGGTGTATCATTTCTTTTTAAAATAGTAGAATAATTGTAGTCAGGGCTCATTACAAACTAATTGTTAAATTGTAGATCCACTTTATATTTCCTTACTTTTCATCATAACATGATAACTTTTTATTCTTCACTAAAGTTTATCTTTATTGCTCTTCACAACTGGATTACAGAGATTACCTCAGAGATTATAGGATTGCTTTTCACAACTGGATTACAGAGATTACCTCAGAGATTGTAGGATTGCTTTCAAATTACTGCAATAAAGTGAATATCACAATGACATGGATTATGCACATATTTTTGGTTTCTTAGAGCATATCAAATTTCTGTTTATTCTCTATTATAATCTATTAAGTGTATTATGACATTATTTTTTAAAAATGTGCATACCTTAAATAAAGAATTTATTGTTACAAATGCTAATGAATGAGCATATACTATTGGGCAAATAATATGCTAACAGACTTGCTCAATATAGGGTTGCCACCAAACTTTAATTTGTAAAAATCACAATATCTATGAAGCACAATAGAGGCAACCACAGTAAAACAAGGTATGCCAGTGCTTCTGTGTGTTACGTCTCAATCATTCACTTCGTGTATCTTTATCCGAGATTACTCTACAATATCACAGACAGTTGTGAGCACCACTCAGTACTAGTGGCTTGGAAATACTGAAAAACTAACTGATCCAGTAAATCATAGATAAAGATCATGAATACACTAAACCAAGTATCCCTCAAATAAGAAATAAAGAAAACCAGTGACTTCTATACTGGGAAATAAAAGCAGGAAAACCATAATAACTATTTTCTCACATGAGAAGAACTACTATTTTTAAAGGGGGAAAAAGTTTAGGTTTATTTTATGCTGGTACAGAGTATGGAGATAAAAATAATGGAAAATAAGGAATCCTCACAACTGGTAACTAAAAGCAGAATAAAATACATTGCTTGAAAGAAACAGTAAATTCAATTGGAATTGGAATCACAATTTATTGGTGATGTTATACAAATTGTTTATGAAAATTTTTAGCAGGCACTTTCAAAGTAACATTCAAAATGTCTAAGACACAATTACTTTTGAAGTGCTGCTTTAAGTATATCATTTTTCTTTGTATAAGACCTTCAATTTGAGAATGTAATTGTTAATATAGCAGGCATCTGAACGACTTAAAATCTCTAAATTATAATCTCCTAGTAGTATCCACACCAGGTAATTTTGAACCGGATAATTTTGAACCTTTAATATAAATGACATCTTGTATATATATTCCATTACTTCTGAACAACTCTGTATGTGGAAATCAGTATGTATGTGTGTATGTGTTCCTAAAAATACCATCATACAATTTCTGTGACCAGTAGTAGTTTGGAGAGTTAAAGGCATTTTTCATCACTTAAAATTGAATATTAACATCTCTACTGTTAAAACTTTTGAACTTGTCACTCTGAATTTTTTTTTTTTATTGTTTGGAATTCATTGAGGGTACAAAGAACCAGGTTACATTGATTGCATTTGTTAGGCAAAGTCCCTTTTATAACTGTGTCCTGTCCCCAAGAGGTGTGTGACACCCCATCACCCATTATCCCCTCCCTCCTTCAGTTTTCCTGGACCCATTTCCCCTCCCCCCTCACCGTGTACTAGGTCATTAATTGTCCTCATATCAAACTTGAGTACACAGGATTGTTGCTTCTCCATTCTTGTGATGCTTTGCTAAGAATGATGTGTTCCCCTTCCATCCTTAATACAAAGGATGTAAAGTCTCCATCTTTTTAAATGGCTGAATAGTATTACATGGTGTACATGTATCACAGCTTATTAATCCATTCCTGGGTTGGTGGGCATTTAGGCTGGTTCCACATTTTGACGATTGTAAATTGAGCTGCTATAAACAGTCTAGTGCAGGTGTCCTTATGGTAAAAGAATTTTTTTTTTTTTTTCTGGGTAGATGGCCAGTAATGGGATTGCTGGATCAAATGGGAAGTCTAGTTTGAGTTCTTTGAGGAGTCTCCATACTTCCTTCCAAAAAGGCTGTATTAGTTTGCAGTAGGGTAAAAGTGTTCCTTTTTCTCCACATCCATGCCAGCATCTGCAGTTTTGAGATTTTGTGATGTGGGACATTCTTGCTGGGGTTAGGTGATAGCTCAGGGTGGTTTTGATTTGCATTTCTTTGATAATCAGTGATGATGAGTATTTTTTCATATGCTTGTTAGCCATTTGTCTATCTTCTCTAGGGAAGGTTCTATTCATTTCAATTGCCTATTGATGTAAGGGATTGTTGGCTCTTTTTAGGTTGATTAATTTGAGTTCTTTGTAGACCCTAGTTATCAAGCTTTTATCCAATTCATAATATTCAAATATCCTCTCCCATTGTGTAGTTTGTCTATTTGCATTGGTTGTTGTCTCCTTAGCTGTAAAAAAGTTTTTCAGTTTAATTAAGGCCCATTTGTTTATTTTTTATGTTTATTTTACTTTATTATTTTTATTAAATCATAGCTGTGTACATTAATGCAATTATGGGGTACAATGCACTGGTTTTATATATCATTTGAAATATTTTCATCAAAGTGGTTAACATAGCCTTCACTGCATTTTCTTATTTATTGTGTTAAGACATTTATATTCTACACTTACTAAATTTAACATGTACCCTTATAAAACACACTGTAGTTGTGTTCCCACCAATTACCCTCTCTGGGTAATTACCCATCCATCCTCCCCCTCTCTTCCCCTCCCTCATTTGTTTATTTTTGTTGTTGTCGAAATGGCCTCGAAGGTCTTCTCCATAAAGTCCTTCCCCAGGCTGGTATCTTCAAGTGTTTTCCCCACACTTTCTTTGAGGATTTTTATTGTTTCATGCCTTACATTTAGATCTTTTATCTATCTTAAATCAATTTTTGTGAATGGAGAAAGGTGCATGTCCAGTTTCGGTTTTTTACATGTGGATATCTAGTTCTCCCAGAACCATTTATTCCCCAGTGTATGTTCTTGTTTAGTTTATCAAAGATTAGCTGGCTATAAGATGTTAGTTTCATCTCATGATTTTGTATTCAGTTCCAGATGTCTATGTGTCACTGTGACTTTTTAATGGCCAACTTACTTTTCAATATCAAGCCTTCTGTCCCCACCACCTCCCCCCTTTTTTTCTTCATTCATAGGGATTTTATTGAAGTCTGTTTCCTCACTACATTATATATATCTTTCTGCTCACTACTTAAAACTTGGGTAACTACACACTTAAATTTCATTAATATATAGTACTAAATATGGGCCATGTAGTATAGGTCTCCCATTTTCCCAACAGTTTTTCATATTTCACTCTTTCAATCTCTTCCCTTCTCAACATTCTATGTAATTGAAAGGGAATTACATAATTATTTAATGTGACATTATATAAATCAGTGGTGGAGAATCTTTTTTCATGTTGTATGGCCACATTAATTTAGTTAAAATCAAATAAGGCCACATTCAAGGAATTTCAATTAGATATGCTTAAAAATGTACATTATTATGTAAAAATATAAGTACTATGTTCTTAAAATTTTCAAAAAATTGAAACTATTTTTTTAATTTTAAAGTTAACTAACCTTTAATGACTTTTTTGTGTCTCCTTTTTGTTGGAAAGCATTTGAATATTTGGTTGCATCTTTGAGGTCTGAAGTTTCAGTTAATCCTCTAGAGGAGTAATTTCTGAACTTTAGGGCCTTTTGATTTGAGTTAAATGGAGAATATAGATTTGTAGCAATAAATGGTTGAAAATCTCAAAAGCATTTTGGGCATATGTTGCAAAAGTTTGTGTATTCTATTGCATTTTCCCATATTTCAATCAGATATTTCCAGGAATCAAACAATGACTTGAAAAAGCCATTGCCTTAGAGCTTCATCAATTTGATCTACAGTTCTTTAGGTGCCTTGTGATATTAACTAGGTGATGCTGAAATGCTAATTTGAGTATGATGTCTTAATTCTCAAAGTCAGTGAACTTTTTATTATATTTTCTAATTGATAGGTCTATAACAATTGTGTATTCTTTAAATGAGTCATCTATATCATGCTACTTTTCAATGTCCTTTGCCAACTGGGAAAAATACACATGCAAAATTTCTCTTTGAAGAATTAC